CATATGTAGAGGTCGTACGACTGCTGTATTACTTTTAATGGTCTTCCTCCTGGAGCTGTGTCTCATCGCCGACCAGATCAGGCCTACGGAAGCCATGAAAAAGAAGAAGTTAATCAAAAAGTTAAAAGAAATTCTGCCCATACTATCCATACTGAAGGTCTGGTAGCCTTTCCCCACTTGACATCCCATTCCACTCTATTAACATATGTTTGCCGTTATATTACAGCCCAAGAAGAAGATTATAATTCCCATCCCTATACCCATTCCGTAAGTATTGTAATATTTTTTGTTATTTTTAGTATACATGCGATTAGTTTAAGTGATTTTATACATAAGATAATCAGTCTCTCGATATATTCACTTATAAAAAGTTTTTTTTGCTGTTTTTATGTGTTTTGTTGTTTTGTTTATTTTCAATGTTTATATCTCGTATACAAGTGTTAGAAGTATTTTGTTGTTATTTTTTATGTTTGATTGCAATTCTTATGCAAATCTATGCGATAAACATCGACTGATAGGTATATACGACTGGTAACTGGTTTTGAATAGTAGTAGGGGGTTGTCAGTCGCGCTGTTAGCTTATTATTGATCTGATAAATAGTTGGCAATCAGCTAGCACCAAAAAAACTTTTAAAATTGCTTTCTATAAGTTAGTGAATTATGCCATAATTTGGCTCAAATTCATATTATCGGGTATTTTATACATAACTAGTTTATATGCTGTAAAAGTTTTAATTTAAATTAAAACTGAGCTGGCTAACTCTGCTTTCTATTTGGTTGTCATTTTAAGCATGAAAATGAACCAGATGCCGCAAATGGACTGCTGTATGAATATGGATAGTGGTTATGGTGGTGGTATGGATAGTTNAAATTAAAACTGAGCTGGCTAACTCTGCTTTCTATTTGGTTGTCATTTTAAGCATGAAAATGAACCAGATGCCGCAAATGGACTGCTGTATGAATATGGATAGTGGTTATGGTGGTGGTATGGATAGTTATGGTGGAGGTGGTGGTGGTGGCTATGGCGGCAGTAGCGGCGGCGGTGGCGGATACGGAGGCTCTAGCGGTGGCGGTGGAGGTTATGGCGGTAGTAGTGGTGGCGGTGGAGGGTATGGCGGTAGCAGTGGAGGAGGTGGTGGTTATGGCGGTAGCAGTGGTGGCGGCGGTGGATATGGAGGCTCTAGCGGTGGTGGAGGTGCCAGTTATGGCGGCAGTAGCGGAGGTGGTGGAGGTTATGGCGGTAGCAGTGGTGGAGGTGCCAGTAGTTATGGCGGGTCGAGCGGCGGTGGGGGTGGTTATGGCGGTAGTAGTGGTGGCGGCGGTGGCGGAGGGAAAGGCAAGGGAGGCGGAGGTGGCGGGGGTTACGGTGGCGGTGCCGGTGGATATTAGTCATCACCCGATAGGCCGACCCTCTCACTAACCACTCAATTATACAATTAAGCCATAAATACATCGATTCGATAACTCATTTGATAACTTCATTCACGTCTCACTTCTAACTCTCATATAAAACACACAACTTATACACAATTTTAAGCACAAAAAAAATTTACTCATTATTTCTCTCTCATTGATAACATATATTAAGGTATTTAACGAAATGCTAAACGAATTAAACTTTTTTTTGTAAACACAAAACATACGATAAAAACAAATCTCTAATTAAAAAACTTTTTATAAAATTCCAAATTATATCTAAAATTCTTACGAAAATATACTTTTCCTAAACTAATAGTGGTATATATGGTGTCTAAAAACACATTTGATATATTATTTTGTGCCCCCAGAATGGGTGGTGGTGATAAAATGAGCATGATGAGTATGCCATCGATGGACCACTCCATGATGATGCCGTCCATGGACCTGTCATCTATGATGGGAAAGGTATGTCTATTTTTAAACACATATTTAGTTTAATATAATATTTAGGATAATTAGTTTAATATCCTAAAAAATTATATATTTTTAATTAAATAATTCCTTATACAAATTTATAAATAGCTTATAAAAAATTAATTTCTATGAATTTATACTAAAACTACTTTCAAGTATAAATATTAATATTTTATAAATGTACTTTTAGTTTAAATGCATAGAAAAATAGTTTAATTTTAAGTTACATTTTATAATACAGTGATAACAATTTTATTGAATCCAGAATTAGACAAAAAAAATTAAACTAGCATAACTAACACCTAAATTATTAACTATTAAATCCGTGACTAACCAAACGGTATGTTCCACTCGTAACAGGGTATGGGCGGTGGTATGAGTCTAGACATGTCGTCGATGACCGGCGGCCTAAATAACATCAAAGGCATGTTCAGCGGTATGATGTCGTCCCTCATGAACAAGGGAGGTATGATGGGAGGCCTGGGAGGTCTCGGTGGAGGTCTCGGAGGCATGAGTATGGGTGGCCACGGTGGCGGTATGCAAATGATGCCCGGCTGTGATTAACTACTAAACAGGGTTAAAACCACTCAATTATTCATCACATACTCACTCACACACTCATCACACGTTCAAAAAACAAATTCAAAACAATTTATAAGTTTTTACACAATTGTCACGAAAAACATTATGAAACGAAACACTCATCCAATCATTGATTCATTCATTCATCAGAAAATTCATAAGTTTTTTATTGAATTATATATTAGTTTTTATAACTATTTTTTAAACATGTCTATTAATTTCATTTTCACTGTACATACGATTCCGTCGTTTTTTATTTTGTCAAAATTTGATGGTCAGGTTAAAATTGGTTTTTGATTTTTTATGGGGTTTTTTTAATTATGTTGTCATTGCTCACCTAATTTTTAATTGTGTTATTAGTTTTGTTTATAGGGATAGAAATATATTATTTGTTTTTTAAAGTTTACATTTGTTTCGCATATAGTTTATGATTGAAATGAGATTTATAGACAGATTTATATTAATAAATAGATTTTATATTAGTTTTTTCAATACAATACTTACGCAATGTTTTATACCTATTATCTCCAACCATATAATCAAATAATTGTGTTTCTGTCCTACTATTTGTTTGTTGTATACCATTCCCTACCTGTGTATATATATGTTATCCATCCGTATGTCTAAGTGTATGTCCCGTGCAATCATGTATTTCCCCTCAAAATTTATTTTTGCAATTGTTTTCTCTCTCTCTCTCTCTCTCTCTCTCATCGTCTAAAACACACACAAACTATTTGTATAGAAAATATTTTCACTCAAAAAGTTTTTTATAATACGTTATTAGTTTATTCACAAACTCATTGACACATATTTGCCTATCATTTGCCTTTTAAAACACAAAAAACTATATTTAGATTTGTTTTAAAAACATCTCTCTCTCTCTCTCTCTCTCTCTCTCTTCTCTCTGTTCATTGTTTCCATAAATTAAAGTCAATTTTTATCGCTTCGAGCGATAGTAAGAGCTTTTTGTTTGTATGAAAAAACCCGTAAAAATAAAACAAACTTTTCACTCAAAACTACTTTTTACAGAAAAATTTAAATTCCTTTTGATTTTTATTACACATCTCTATGTGTTTGATAAGTATTGATAAATACTAAAAATATTTTCACAGTTTTAATTGAATTCAAAACCAGTTTCTATACATAGGTTTTAGTTGCCATCTTATGTGACATAATTCCTATCGTTTTTCATACTATAAGTTACTATAGTTTTCTCAATCAATCCCTTAATTACTGTCTTAAATAGAAATTTATTATTTGTTTTATTTCCCATTCACTTGTGAATGTTATCTCAAAATTTTATTTTTTCACAAAACAATATCCAAAACACACACAAAAAGTTATTTTAATATTCTATACGCTTTTTATCTGATTGTCTATTATATATGAATACCTGTATTAATGAATGTATATATAGTTTATTGTGTCTGTCATTCACAACAAAAAAGTTTTTATAAATTGTCTCTCGATTTCTATATCGATATCAAAATTTATATCCGAAATAAAAATATTTGTCTATTTTTATAACTACTGTTTGTCAACCCTATGTATAGTGAACTCCAAAATTAATTGTCTAAATTGCTAGATAATTTTACTTTATAAAAATGTTTATTTAAAATATTTTCAATACATTTTCGTAAACTTCAAAATTTTTTTGTTACATAACTTTTTACGATATAAACTGCTATTTATGTGTCAAAACAGTTTGTCAATTGAAAAAATAAGTACAAAAATCTGTATATTTCCGTTAAAACTCCTGGTGTTGTCTGTAATTCAATAAATAAGTGTTTGTCTTAAAAAAATTAAACAAATTTTCACTACTTTTTCGTAATTGTGTTATTTGTTTGTTTGAGTGTATTGTGTGTTATATAAAAATCTTTAAGTAAATTAATTTAAATTTCAAACTTCCTATTTGTTATGTAATTCCTATTAGTAAACATTAAACAAAATATAAATTACTATTAATTTGATTAAAATTATTGTGTTTTCATGTAATTTAAGTGTTTGTATTTAACACTGGTTTGTAAATCATTCGCACATTTCTTATATTTTAATTGTAATCATAAATTAAATAAAAACTATTTGTCACTAAAAAATTATTATTTTGTTTATTATTCCTAATTAAATATTTGTAATAAAAATATATTGATGTACTAATAACCTAGGCTAGTTTAGTAACCATGCATGAATTAATAGTCTATTACTAATTTTGGTTTAAATTATGTTTAAAACTTATAAACTGTAATACAGTATTAAATTTTAAATAAAATATTTACGAAAATATTATATTATATTGCTAATTATTATAAATCTTGTATTTGTGATTGAGATTTGAAGTTTTATTTAAATATAAATATTAAGGCTAATAAGTACTCACATTTAAATATTTAAAACACTTTATTAATTAATAAAAATTATAATTTTAATCAAAAACAAAAGTTTAAAACTTTTCAAACGAGTTATAAAAACGTTATATATTTTTGTCCCAAAAGTCATCACTTTTTAAATGATGTAATCATTTAATGGTTTTTGTTGTGAAATAATCACTCATTTTGTGGACAATTAATACATAATTTGATTGCAATTAACACTTCAATGATGACTCATTGGATCCCAAGAATGGCTCAACAAATGAAAGACAAACACAAAGTGACTGAAGATGTGGTTCAAGAGGACAGTCGACAGGTATTTATAAATATTGTGATAATAAACACGAGTTTTAATCAAAACTTATTTAATGTCTCAATAATAGCCACAAATGTATGCAAAAGACTCTTTGGACCGATTCGGTGATGATATGTGTGAACACATACTCTCTTACCTCACACTCGAAGACCGGTTCCGATGTGAATGTGTGTCTAAACAGTGGCAGCGATTTATATACACGACTGTCCGCCACATCACTATCACTAAGAAAATGATGACAAAAGTGATGCCCTATTTGGTGGTCCTTAAGAAGTGTCCTCACCCCTCAATTGTATTTTGATTCAAATATTTGGAAAGACTATTATAAAACTAATTTGCTTTACATGTGCTGTCTTACATAACATACCGTGTAACTTATATGTAATTTTAATTATAATAAATTTTAAATGTTTGTATAATTTTCTAAAGCTGTAATATTAAAATGAAAATAAAATGTTAGCCAATAAGATAATTGATTATGCCAATTGATAATTATATAAAATGTTTGTAATTTTATCTCAAGTTTTACTGTAAATTCATAATACAGTATTCATGCTCTTTATAGTACTGTACAGATATCTATAAAACCATAATACTAATTAATTAGTTTAGTAATAGAAACTAATATTTATCACGAAATAAAAATTACTTGATACCAAATTAATCAAATACTTAAGAATACTATTTATAACCTCATGATAATATTGTTTTCTGTCAAAAATATAATTTCATTAATAAATAAATTTTATTTTTATCAATTTGCCACAAGTACAAACTTTGTTAGAAATATAAATGGATATGTTTTCAATATTATTAAAATGTTAATCACAGTTAAATTAAGTATAGCATAACATGCAATTAACCCAATAAAAAATGCACCTGTAATTACCCATTAAATTTATTATATTCATTAATAGCTACAACAATTGTACTTAATATAAAAGTATATGAAATATCATACAAACTATTGTCTGAACACTGAATTATAATTTTAGTGATATTAAAACACATTTAAACAAGTTACTTGGTGCTTTAACAATTTTTAACACAGACTTAAACGCCTAAACTATCATAAGGGGCGGCCCCCTGAGTGCCGGGGACTATAGGTCCAAACCCCCGCACATAACTCACGGGATCGTTATACTGCTCGGGCTGTAGACTAGTAGGCGGACAGTTATAGCTGTTGCATAGACCCCGACAACATCCCAGGCCATTGCTGTTGGCTATACAGGGCGAGGGCCCCGGGATCTCCAGCAAGTCCCTAACACCTGACAAATAGCAACACCAACAGTACTGCTCAGTCAGCGCCCGATCATTAGCCAACCCAAAGGACTCGTCCGCCGCCGGGAACTCAGTATTGATATCCATATAATTCCTGTCATTAATGGAAATCCACTTAATTTTGGGACAATTTGTGATGAGTTTATTGACAGTGGTTTGCGTGAAGTTCTCTCTCCCATAGAGTCTAATGGTCTGTATTTTCGGCAATTTTGACAACGAATTCAACGCACCGTTAGTTATGTTGAGTTTGGATAGCGATAGGAACTGGAGTTTCCGGAAGTTGTGCCCGAAATTGATGTAAAATTTTTCCCGTAATGACGGCGACTCTAACAGACATTCCGTGTCCAGTGTTAAGTGCGTTAAGCGTTTACATTGAATGAGTGTTTCGCTCATTAGTACAAACTTTTCGCACGAATTGCCGCTTATTTGTAGCCGTTTTAGGCGTTTGAATGACCAGTAAATCGTTTGCACGACTCGTGTGAATGTTTCCGACGAATTGAATACACCGTTGAGTGTCAGGCGCTTGAGTTGGTGACACTTGTCGCCAATTAGTCTCAACTGATCCAGTAATGCAACTATAGATGAGTTCTTGACGCAATCCTTGAGCACAATCTGTAAGTCAATTAACGCCGACATATCGGACACACCAGTCATGAGGGACTCAATGGAGGTCTCGTCACACGACTGGCCATCAATTGTCACCCGAAGTGTACGCAAACATTTGCCGTGGTTTTTGACAAACACGGGAAAGCCGTCGACACTATCGCCGCTATAATGAAGTGTATATTCGGCGAGACTTTGAAACTTCATTTGCAGACAATCGGCGAACACATGGCTATACTTCGGGTCAAACTCGTGGCCAATCGCCCGCAGATTCAGCGCCCAGAGGTCCGGGCAGTTGTGCAGCACCGGCAGCACGTTTGCGAGGGTCGTGTCGGTGGCAGTGAACGAGACTTCGCGCAAGTCTTTGCCAAAAGTGCCGAAAAACTCGTCGATAGACTCGTCGCTGATATCAACGTTGGTCTCGAAATCAATTGCATTCAAATGCATGCAATACTTGACCAGCAGTTCAATGGACTCGTCGTCCAGAATGTCATTACATTTGGCGACAATTTTGCTAATGTTTGGCAACTTCTTCACCACACACTCCAAGCGTATCAGAAATCTCTCCATCGGTTTGGTACTGGATTTGAGTTGAGAGGACAGCCGCTTGAGTAGTGACCGGAAACCGCCTTTGAATGCATTGTTTGCGTCAAAGTATTTCGAGTTTAGCATAAACTTCTCGTCAATGGTTAGCAGGGTTTGTGTCGCGTATACCGAGCGCTGCCACTGAGTGGACAGGCATTCGTAGCGGAACCGGTCCTCGACAGTCAGATAACTTAATAGCATTTCACATAAATCGTCGCAAAATCGGTCGAAATTGTCTTTACTATACGTTTGAGGCATTATTTTATGCACAAAAAAATTAATTATTGCTAATAAATAGACTAAAAATAATTTTTATTGTACTTTAAAGTGTCAAATAACTATTAATTTTATTAGTATTATAAGTGAACACATTAAGTGCACATAGAAAATAGTTTATTGTATTTTTACTTATATGTAATTTATACCTAAAACTATGTTAATTCATTAAATAGCAATTAACGTTTCTATGGTTATATTGTATTGTAATAGTGAACATCTAGGTCAATAGATAATATAGACATTTATGTACAGCATAATACTGATCATAACAGTAGTTAATTATTTGTTATAAGTTTTTATTTTGATAAGAAATAATTTTGTAATAAGTACATATGATATTAATTAGATAATTAACACATTTTCGAATAAACAGAATAATTAATAACTTTATTAATGAATTAAAATATAATTTTTATTTTCTTATAGCTATTGGACACACAATCCCGAGTAATAGGAGGGGAAATGGATTATGTATTAATAATTAATTAAATAAAATCATTAATTCTAATTAAAAACTAAAAGTTTAAAACTTTTCAAACAAGTTATATATTTTTGACGCAAGAGTTTTAAGCTATTAACACTTTCTAATGATTTAATTCATAAAACATTTAATTTTTTATTTCAAATAACTTTGACTTTTGTATTTAGAATTGATTCAAATTCTTATAATTTATAAAACTAATGAAAATGTGATTCAAATGTTTTAGTCATTTCATTAATAACATTATAATTATGTTTAGTATTGTATTCCTATAATTATATGATTTCTATTTAACTGTATTAATAGATTACTATTTGTTTTGATTTAAGATTTAACTTTTTGTATTGATTATGAAATTAAAATTTTAAATGTTATAAAATCTGTAAGAACTTTAAATTTGCATTTAAATAAACAATAAAACAAACATCACTTGTATGTCATTTATTTTGTAATAAAAATCAATTCAATCGACTAATACACACATAATCTCTATGTTATCTCTCAAATAATCGTTTGTTTTAAATATTTTGGCACTTATTTAGTATAACCGATAATATTATGATTGCATTTGTTTCCTATTCATTGCTATTATGAACACAATTTCACAATTATTTTTGCTTTAATTCAAAACAACTCATAATTCATTACTTTTTAAACTAATTAACTTTTGGATTTTGTATTGAGATTTAAATTGAATTAAATTTCTAATAAAACAAATTATTGACACAAATATATTTTAAACTATCATTTAAACCATACAAATATATTCACTCGCATTTAATAACTAATTTACGTTACCAGGAGCAATTAATAAAAGACATTAATTATCAAAAAACAAAAAGTTTGAAACTTTTCAAAGCAGTGATGAAAACATAATCTATTTGTGACTCAAAACTTATTTTCTGACGAAATGTTTGTTTTGTTTTGGTTTTGGTTTTCATTCAGAAATTGAGACCAATTTTGTGCACATTTTATACGCTTTTCATTGCAATTAACACTTCATTATCACGAA